ATGCTGTGGAATACTGCATCAAAAGCCTTGCTAAAGTCAAGTTATAACCCATATGGATCAAATATCCTTCTTTGTCCAATATTATTTTGGTGGGAGGAGAGAATAAAATGTCTAAAGTAACACAAAAAGAAGATGGTATAATATTTAATACTCTCTGCATCTTCCAGGACTGTTTCTCTTACTTAACTCTCTCTCCTATAGTCTGTTCATATATAACATCTCATCTTACACGATACAATGAATACAGTAGAAAACTACAAAAATGCATTGATGACAAACCACACGATTTTATTGTCTATTTGAATACAAATTTTTGTAAAGATCATCATCTATCTATTGCATAATACTGTAGTACCAAGAGAACTAATCATGGACCAGAACCATAGTGTGCTAGGTGCTTTTAAAAATAGGACAAAAAGACAACCTCTTCTCCAAGGAGCTTACCATCCAAGTGCAAAACATGAGACCACAGATCAATAAGATGGGGGACCACAAGGAAACAGAGTTGGTATTGGCCATCATGATTGGCAGTGAGTACATCAGCAACCTAGCTGTACGTCATGTTTTTTAGACAATGTGGCAAAAAGGAGTTTTTAGTAAGGGTAATCACAATACTGCCTCCCTGGTGTTGCTTTCAGTAGCAGTGCTTCTTCCACACCTCAGCCTCCAGCCAAAGTGCTACCTCCACTGTAATGCTACCTCTATACTGTGTTATTTCTTATGGGGAAATTGAGGCTGGATATAATGATGAGCTTCCTAACTAAGGGTGTGGCTAAGCAGTGGGACAGATTCCCAACAGAGAGGATGGGGAAGCTCCATCACTGGAATTTTTTCAGTGCAGGTTGATCAAGCACTTGTCTGGGATGGCTTAGATAGGGATGATCCTGCCTGTAGCAGGGAATTGGATTAGGTAACCTCCTGGCGGGTTACCAGCCCTATATTTCTGATTCTGTATTCTGCATTTGTCCAGTTTGCTCAGATGATACTATCACCCAATCTGGTGATTTCAGCTCTTTGGTAATATTGTGTTGTTTTACAGAAGTATCTGAAGATTCTTGATGCCCATTGAATCCAGTGGGAACTTGAGATGCTCAATAGCCAAGGCTAAATATTATGTAACCAATTTCCTATGAATTGGTTACAAAGTTTTTACTTTTTTATATGTTGCTATATGTAATTGTAGGGCTATTATAAAGACAAAGAAACTGCGGCAGGTTCTTCTGAGATCTGTGCCCCACTGCTGAAGATTCTGCACCACATTTAGGAAGACGAGCATTGAAAAATACTGGTGATAACAGATAGATCCAGTCACTCTGTAGCAGCCCAAATAACAAACTTACTAAATACATTCTTATATTTGTTTTGTGGTTGCTCCCACAAGTCCCAGTCAAGATCCAAAACATGCAGTGCTAGATGTTCTGCAAACACATAAAAAACTCCCTGCTCTAGTGATCTAAAAGCATAAAGAAAGGAAGAGGTGGTAGTCCATTCTCCTGACTGGCATGATAAGCACTTTTTGTGCCATAATTCACCATACAGCTTAGCTTGTGAATTGGGCTGTTGCTACTGCTGTTGCTGATACATCCTTCCACATAGATACTTTTCCTGCTCACGGACATGCTGCTGCTGTTCTAAAAGACTTATAGCCTCCTGCACCTTGGTGTTTTATTGCTGCCTATTTATGGCTGAAAATTTGAAAAAGTTAGCTGAGAGGTTGCAGGAACTCAAGTATACTTTTAAGGTGTCCTTGAAGTGCTTTCCTGGGCAACCATGCTTCCTCTTTCTACACTTCCATTCACCATCTAGTAGCTGCTTGGGCATTTGTGTGGGACAGTGCATGAAAGTCCATGCATGAACAGAGCAGAGTCCAGCACTGTGTTTACTGAGGGACTGGGGGAGAGAAAAGTGAGATGGCACAGAGGTCAAAAGGTAGATGGCAGTATCTTGATGTTTCTCTCTGCTGTTCCCATACAGGGAGCTTAGCATGATGCAGAATGAAAAAGTCACAGGGGAAGCCTGTGTTGGAAGGACCAAGGACAGAGATGCACACAGGGATATTTAGCATTTTGGTAGTGCATGACAGAGCAGGTGCACACCCTGTCCCTGCTGTACTCTGACATCCCAGGGGGGTAGATGTTCCAATGCCAAGAGGCCTGTGCCTCTTAGTAGTTGAAAGAACTGAAAATGGTTGACTCCGGATGTGTGTGGCATCAGTTACCCCCTAGACTTTTGCCATTATCTCTTTGTTGAAATGGGTTGGGCATAAGGTAGAGGGTGCAAACAGCTGGCTTAGAGTGCCTTGACACACCCAGAACAAATGGGTGTGATGGCAAGAGGCTCCCAGGCCTGTGACCTATTGCAGGAGCAGTTAACTACAGGCATGTGAAAACACATTGGGAGATAGGCTGCGATCACAGTTGTATAAACAGGGCTCCAGGTAGGGTGGCCATCATAGAGGACATGCCAGTTTTCTACTAGTCTGTTCTCTATTGATACGAAACCTGGCACCTTTTTATGTCCTCTATTTTTCTCTTAAGAGGACAGAGGACATAAAAAGGTGTCGGGTTTCGTATCAATAGAGGACAGAGGACAACTGGACTGTCCTCTATGATGGCCACCCTAGCTCCAGGGCTTCTCAAGCAAATCCCGGGACGTCATTCTCCCCCTGTACTCGGCCTTAGTGAGGCCGCAGCTGGAGTACTGTGTCCAGTTTTGGGTTCCACAATTCAAAAAGGATGTGGAGAAGCTTGAGAGAGTCCAGAGAAGAGCCACGCGCATGATCAGAGGTCAGGGAAGCAGACCCTACGATGACAGGCTGAGAGCCCTGGGGCTCTTTAGCCTGGAAAAGCACAGGCTCAGGGGTGATCTGATGGCCACCTACAAGTTTATCAGGGGTGACCACCAGCATCTGGGGGAACGTTTGTTCACCAGAGTGCCCCAAGGGATGACGAGGTCGAATGGTCACAAACTACTTCAAGATCGTTTCAGGCTGGACATAAGGAAGAACTTCTTTACTGTCCGAGCCCCCAAGGTCTGGAACAGCCTGCCACCGGAGGTGGTTCAAGCGCCTTCATTGAACACCTTCAAGATGAAACTGGATGCTTATCTTGCTGGGATCCTATGACCCCAGCTGACTTCCTGCCCTTTGGGCAGGGGGCTGGACTCGATGATCTTCCGAGGTCCCTTCCAGCCCTGATGTCTATGAAATCATACAGAGGAAACTGGCCAGTGGCACCGTCTCCTCAGCCTTGATGCCATCAGGGGAACTTCTAGGGTCTCTTTACTCAACTGTAGCATGTGGACCTAGTTTTGTGGTGCTAGCTCTCAAAGTTTGAAAAACAGGCCTCCCATTTGTCAGGAACCCCTGCCCCCCAGCACCCAAGGGCTGTGGTGCAGCCTGGGCCACAGCGTAGCAGCCAGGACAGTCAAAAATGGCTTTTGTCACCCTGGGCCTGTTGGGACCTGCGGGAGAACAGCGGGCAGGGGCCGCTGGGCATCCCCCAGCATAGGACAGGGAGACAGTGCCAGCGCTGGGCCCCAGCTCCCGAGTCCCCCGGGGGCAGGGAGGGTCCCCGCAGCGGCAGCCTCATCCCTGCCGAGGGGTCGATTGCCCCCCGCGGAGGAGCGAGGGCGGCGAGAGGACCGGGTGCTCCTGTGGGACCGCGAGCGCCGGGCAGGGCCGCCCCGGCAGCAGCTCTGCCACG